ATATTTTACTTAGTATTTGAAAAATATTCTGGCTCCTTGCTACATAAAGAATGGACCAACTATCAGCATCATCTGAGAATGTTGTAGAAATCTAGAATCTTTCTTACCCCGAACTACTAAATCAGAATCTTCCCCGTAAGATTATCCCAAGGTGATATGTATGTCCATTAAAATTTAAGAAGCATTGCTTTAGGGGCGCCTGGGTGGCTCAGTCGGTTAAGTGTCCGACTTCGGCTCAGGGCATGATCTCACGGTTTGTGAGTTCGAGCCCCACATCGGGCTCTGTGCTAACAGCTCAGAGCCTGGAGCCTGCTTCAGATTCTGTGTCTCCCTCTCTGTCTCTGCCCCTCCCCTGCTCATGCTCTGTCTTTCTCTGTCTCTCAATATAAATAAACGTTAAAAAAAAATTTTTTTAAAGAAGAAGCATTGCTTTAGCCTACAACAATCATATTGGGGCTTTCATGTGTCACGTTGTATGTTGTTTTTGCAGTTGGCAGTGACTGGCACTGATACAATATAGTCTATCATATCCCATCCTCTTTGTAGCTGATAGTGGTACAGTCTGTGGTCACAAAACACAGCAGCTTTACAGAGTGAGACTTGGCCTCGTTAGCAACTATTCTGAGCAAAGAACCACAGGCTTCTCTCCCATTAACCTGCTTCATAACCTCAAATTTTGTTTTTCTAATTCTACAAGAAACTTTGGAGAGCCAAGTCCAACTAGATTCCTCACAAGGATTTCCTCTCAGAAAAAATAATGCAAAGAAAAGTAAGTTCTAAACACTTGAGAGTCTGTCAGGAAGTGGTGGGGAGGAGTGAGCTTGCCGGAGCCAGACCTCTCTGACATGCTAACTTAATTCAAACCACAGGACTTCGTTTGAACTTGGCCAATCATTCCTGAGTTGAAAATAGAAGGAAAGGATCTGTGGCCAAAGTTAGAACTTTTAAAAAGAGTTTTGAGGGGCGCCTGGGTGGCGCAGTCGGTTAAGCGTCCGACTTCAGCCAGGTCACGATCTCGCGGTCCGTGAGTTCGAGCCCCGCGTCAGGCTCTGGGCTGATGGCTCAGAGCCTGGAGCCTGTTTCCGATTCTGAGTCTCCCTCTCTCTCTGCCCCTCTCCCGTTCATGCTCTGTCTCTCTCTGTCCCAAAAATAAATAAACGTTGAAAAAAAAAAAAAAACTTTAAAAAGAGTTTTGAGGTGTTCAGTAAATTTACCATCCACACATTTAAAAAGCATCGTGGATTGAGTTTCTATTATGTTTTGTTTTCTGTGTTTTCCCAAACCATCAGGTTACTGAGGAAATGGCCACAACCCAGATGCATTTAAAGGTAAATCCCCACAATTTCCAGTTGATATGGAAGTCTAGAAATGAAACAAATACAATTCGGAGAAAGAAAATTTCAAAAAATATCTATTTGGGATTTTAAAATAAAGACAAAAATTATTCTAATCTGTGGACATCTATTGTAATATTAGTGCTCATGGTGAGAGGCAGAGTAAAAAACCCTTAGCATTTTTCATCTGGCCAAAGTAGGGTAGCAAACCTGCCTATTATAGAGCCGAAGAGCAGCATTATTCATCAGCATAGGATAGAAGGAAGAACATTCTGTCTGCCCAGATATGGGGAGGGTTACTGTGTTCTTACAGAAGATGGTCATTCAGAGATATTCTTCAGGCTTCTAGTGATCCAAGGACTCTGAAGTGCCAGGAGGCCACAAAAGGTAGTCTCCTAAATCATCCCTAAACTGAAAGATTCTTATAAATGGGGACCACATACCTAATTTGGTCAGCACCATGCCCCCAGCACCAACACTATTGCCTGGGACATAATTAGTATTCATTAAATACGTATCATGTGATGGATGGATGGATGGATGAATGAATGAAGCCATTGCTCCAGATTAAAGTCAGCATGTTAGAAATGCCTGATAAATACTCACCAAGTTGCTATCATGATATGCATGAAGGTAAAAGTTTACAGTATCCTGGAAAACTAAGATAAAAGGAAAACATAGGGCAAAGTCAGAAATGGGGATGTCTGCACTAAGTAGGAATGGGACTGTGCAGACTGGGAAGGGGACAGGAGGAGCACCCACTGTTGGAAGTCTCCATTGTCTAATTCACCATTTTACCAAAGGTTGGATTTGTCCATTTGGGCATTTAACATTTAACATTTAACAAAAATCAGTATCTGTTACTGGCAGCTCTGAGTGTAGCACTCTTTTGGCACTGCGGGAGACAAAAGACCTATCCTTCAGCTCAAACCTTCTGGGAACTTAGAATTGAGTTGTGAATGTAAGTCTAACATGATCATATAACAAATTTTTAAAAACACATTGCAAAATATCAGTAATTTATGATTAAGTTCCAGATAAGGTAATGAATGTTAAATGGTCAGACGTCTTTGTGAAAGGAGATCTATTTCAAGTTCTAAGAGTCCCTGTACACACTAATCACTAAATGTTTATGTAAGTGGATGCGTGTTAAAACGTACAAGTTATAAGATCAAAGCAACATGAAAACTGTTTTAAGAATAATGTGTATAGGGGTGTCTGGGTGGCTCAGTCGGTTAGGTGTCCAACTTTGGCTCAGGTCATGATCTTACAGTCTGTGGGTTCGAGCCCCACATTGGGCTCTGTGCTGACAGCTCTGAACCTGGAGCCTGCTTTGGATTCTGTGTCCCCCTCTCTTTCTGCCCCTTCCCCGCTCATTCTCTGTCTCAAAAATAAATAAACATTAAAAAAATTGTTTTTAAGAATAATGTGTATATATATATATACAAAGTATATACCATATTTTATACGGAGAAAGTTCATATTGCTGCTTCATGAAATGAGTGGATACAATATAATGCACCCAAGAGTGTTAAGTTGTTTGAGTGTGGAGACCTTGCTCATGCCTGCATCATCAGAACCTACAGAGATGACCAGAGTGCGCTAATCCTTCCATAGGAATTGATGAATCAATGAGCAAATGAATAAAAAGGAAGTTAATCTAAATTTGAGGTAGGTCATTTAGGCAAGCTTGAGCCAGCTTTCCTTAGCTAGTATGAGTCACTGTCTTCACCAGTCCACTGAGCCTTCTCACTTTGGCTTTCATGGCTAATGCAAAAAAAAAAAAAAACAACCCCACAGCATTGGGAAATTTGAGAGACTTATCTATGGAGCACATTTTGCATAATGACTTATAAGAAGTAGTTCCTGCCTGTGTTTTAAATAAAAAGAACACAGGGCATCTTGGGGAGAGGGACTGACATAGGAAAGGTAAATGAGTAGCAATATTGTCACAGGGAATTGAGACCAGACAATATGTTTAATGGAAAATGAATGATGAGGCAGTGAGAAAATATAAGAAGGAAGAGATAAGAAAGAACCTTTTCTATTGGGGCGCTTGGGTGACTCAGTCAGTTAAGCATCGAACTCTTGATTTTAGTTCATGTCATGATCTTATAGTTCGTGGGATCGAGCCTTGTGTAACGGCCCCTTGCCTGCTTGGGATTCTCACTCCCTCTCTCTGCCTCTCCCCCATCCCCTTGCTCTCTCTCAAAAACAAACAAACAAACAAACAAACAAACAAACAAACAAAAATTTTAAAAACAAAGTAGTTTTTCTATGAAAGAACACATATCATAAATTATATGTCCTTATCAAAACAAGTTGTGGTCATATATGAAGAAAAATGGCTTCTATTTTCATTTCCACATTCACACAAAGTTAAAAAGAAAACAGTTATTACCATTTTCAACAGCCTTGATGACAGCATTTGCTATATGGCTGGTTAACTTGAGTGTAGAGCTTTGTTAGTTTGCTTTGAATTATATCAAATTTATAATGACAAATATAAAATAATAGACATTAATTATAATATGACTAAAAATACAAAGGTAGATGGAGTTAGAAACCTGCTACTTTAATTGCAATCCCCTGAGGTAACCAGTATTAATGGTTTGTTGTGTATCTTTCTACATCTTCCTTGATGTTCCCTAGAATATATATATATATTTACATACACAGTGGGTAGTTATTGTATTTATAAAAATATGAACAAATGAAATATATAAGCTTTTTCTTCATTTAACAATAGATTAGAGACCTCCTACCAGATGAATATATAGAGAGATTTTCTCACGTTTTTAAATGTAGAGTATGAATTTACTACCATTTGTTCAACTATTCCTCAATGGTGTACATTCTGGTATTTTCAGGGTTTTTTCAACCACATTAATACTGCACTGAATGCCCTTGTGATTGCAGACTGTTTTAATTTCATTGTCATGGGTGTCTGAGCCTTGAAATCTCACCTTTCAAACGCCACTTGCTTCCCCTCATCCTCCCTGTCATTTGGAGCATGAAGCCGAAGAGAGACTGCAGATGAGCTATGAAAGCCGATAACCACTCCATACAGCACATGGCCAGCAGCTTCCTGCTACACTATTTACGTCCTATTCCATTGAGATGGCACTCTCCGCTCACATGACCCAAATGCAGCTCTCACTCCACCAAGAACACAGCTGAATCCAACTGCATTGGCAGCTCTGCACATGCTCCGTCTGGCCCTGTGAATCCTCACTCACCCATTGAGATTTCTTTTGGTTTAAAGCAACATTCCAGCTGCTGAAGCTCCGTTGACCTCCAGTGTTTTCCTGGCTCAGATCCAAGGCAGGTGGCCCCCTGCAAATTGTATTTTTTTTAGAGTTTGAGCTTTTTCGTTTTTTTTGTTGGATGTTGGAAGGTGTATAATAATTACCCACAAGCAAAGCTGATGAATGAAGCCACAAGAAGTAACTCTTTTCCTGGCAGGTATCACAGGAATAACATTCGCCTATTGCCATCATTTGCCTCGACAACAACCTGCAGCTCTAATGCACGTTTAATTCTCAAACAGGAGTTTTGGCAAGTGATGCTGTATCTGACTGATGTGTTGACTGTAACATGTGAGATGGTGGGTTTTTTTTTTTCTCTCTCTAGAAACCTGGATGCTTTTTGCCATTCTGATGGTAAATGATGAGACAGGCAACCATGGATTTCAGCACTCCATCTGTGTTTGACCAGCAAAAAGGTAAAAATGCTGCTTTAATACCTCCTTTGGTTCTTCATATCTTTAGTTCAGGGGTAGAGATTCTGCAATTCTGAGGGGGAAAAGAGTAGTGTGTGTGTGTGTGTGTGTGTGTGTGTGTGTGTGTGTGTAATATGAAAGAGGATTTCACATAGAAAACAAATCTGTTTTACATGTTCACTTCTTGTTTGATAAGCATTTGGAAATGAAAAATAAGCTTATGGTCTGTTTGTCTTGTTAAAGTATTCCTATGTACAAATTTTAAAAATTGGGTTTCAAACACAACCAGCTATTTCAGATACAATCATCTTTATTCTCATTAGTTTATTTTCAAGTCTTTAAAAACTATATTATAGTAACTAATGTAAAAAGAACAAATCACATGTCTCTTTTCATTCTATTACCTCAATATCTCATTGCCACAGTTCCATAGATACTTCTTGATTTCCTTTTAGGAATAGATGTTACCTAGATTTATACTATAGTTGATAGAATATCTCATCCGTGGTTGTGGTGTGATTTAACACTATGTTATTTGTAATGACAGGATATAGCTTTCCTACTCATAATTTGCCGAGTGGAGGTCATTTTCCACATGAAAAGATTGCTATGGAATCAGCCCCATCCTCATAAAAAGCATGTATTCAGCAGTACAGTTTATGTGTATACATTTTGCATTTGAATTGTGTACATATACATAATACCTTTGTGTAATTATGCATCTTTCCTATATATGCACAGGAAATTTCCACTCTGTAAATGTAATAAATATTTTTTAGAATATTTAAAAAAAACTGACATCTAAACCATTTTTTGTAGCCTGTGAATATTCTTCAGGACCCTAAAGTTCTTTGGTCATTTGCTCCTAGTTTTGGCTCCAACATGAAAAAGATGATTTGTAAAAGCTCATTAAGAAAATCCATTGCTTCTTTCTTTTTCCCTTGTCCTGCTCTAGGCCGTAGTGTGTTTATTACCCTTCAAGCTGTATCTGTTTCATGGGTGAATTATTTTAGCTCAGTGCTTTCTCAAATATTAGATTTACTTTTAGATCTCTGAGTCACTATATGTACAGATGTATATATAAAGAGAGATAGTTCTCCACTTCTTAACTCATTTTGAATTGTATGTGTGTGTCCCTTCAGAATATGCTGGTTCACATGGTGTTTGATGATGAACACCATAGGGAAAATGATTGTTAAAGCTGTGCCTACCACCATCCCCTCCCCTTGGTACATTTTGTATCACTGAAGACAATCAGCAAAAATGAAAGTCTGCCTAAATCCAAAGACCTCATACTAGCTAAAAAATGACATTGTTGAGCTATGCAATCCAAAGGGGAACACAAAGAGTTTATTTTTTTTGAGACTAATCTGAGGAAGCTGGAATTGACTGTGAAGAGGTGGCCCTTCATAATGAATTCATCTATTCCAGTGTTGTGTTCCCTTACAGGCTTGAGCCCAAAACGTAGTTAACTAGTTAACATATTAATTTGTCATATTTATTTTCTTACAGCACCTTTCATGTGAGCAATTCACAGCATTTCGTCCACCCCACACCTGACTCCCTCATGAAAGTTCACCTTCTCCCTGCCATCTCTATCTCTATTTCTCAATCCTTTCTAGAGGTGCTGAAATATGGTTGAAATAGCGTAGGTTGGAACGGCAGATCTACTTCTTAGCTGTGTGACCTTAGAAAGCTACCTAACCTCTCTGGGCCTTACTTTCCTCAGCAATAAAATGGAGGAAATAATGTTTGCTTCGCAAGGCTGTTGTGAGAATATAAAATAATACATAAAAAGCACCAATCACAATGCCTAATGTGCCATAAGTACTTTAAAATTGTGGCTGCCTTTGTTATTCCTGTTTTAATTGCTACCTTGGACTATGAGTTCCTCAAATGTGAAAGGCTCTTCCCTTCTCTACCTCCAGCTTGAATTTAGCAGTCCTCAGAACAAACAAGAGCTTAGTTAATACTAGTTGACTAGAAAACATTAATTTTTTTTTCAGTATTCCAGGGTACTATTTAGAGCAATCCCCTAAAATAAAAATTAATTAGATGATACCTGAGTAGTTCTATTATCACATTAACCCTTCCATCCTCTTAAAAGCATGAAAGGCCATAATGGTTTAGACCATTACATAGCTTTTAAATGCCATTATGGTATATTGTTGGGCAAACCACAGAAGAGTGATTTTCTCCCCAAATGTGGGCTTTATTCAAAGGCTTTCCATGAATTCTGAATATTTGGGAAATCAAAATTCTAGTAGCCCTGGATTTCTGTGGAAATGTTGAGAAAAGAAATGATCTGGAAGGATCTCAGAAGTCATGTAATCTATTGGTTCTCACACTCAGCCACACATAAGAATCACATGGAGAGGTTTGGAAAATGCTGATGCCTAGTTCTCCAGTATAATTAGTGTTGGGGGGAGGCCTGGAAGCTCCCCAGGAAGATCTCACGTACAACAAGGATTGAGAATCATTCATCCAACCCATTGGCCTAACATCTCAGATGGGAAGAGGGAAGCACAGAGAGGTGAAAAGGTGGGGCATGTTTGTACTAATAACACCCAGCTAGTGAGTCATAGAAGGGCCTGAGACCCAGATATTCTCTATCCAGACACCAGAACATTGAGAAACTTCTTTTCATGGGTGGTCTGTGGCCCCAATAGCTGCTATGGAATGGTTGCAGGGCTCAGACAGCTCTGGTTTATGGTTTCACAGGGAATGGTTAGCATTGTGCACTTGAAAAAAATATGACACAGAATGACCTTCAGGGGTCAAATGATGTGGATGTGTTAAGTCTGAATCCCTTCAGTGGCATTTTTCTAGATTTCTCTTTAGTAGAGGTAACAAGGCATCCTTATGCTAGGGGCTCAGGGATATATATATGGCCCTTACTCATGTTATGTCTCAGTTTTCTTCCCATTTGCATGAACCTGGACAAATCAATCTCCTAGTCTGTGAAATGTGCAGGGTTGCTGGGAGGCTTAAACACCCAGTTATCTGGCTACGGGAACGAGAGTCGTTTCTGGTTTGCTTTCTGAAATTGTGACGCAGGAAGCCTAGGTCTTCAGAGCTCTCCACTCCTGCTTTGTGCTTTTTGCTTTCACCATAGCAACACTGTTTCTGGTTCCACGTGTTCCTCCTGGCTGTCTTCCCTGTCAGAGCCCACATGCAGGAAAGGACCTGTAGTAAAATCATTTACTACGGAACACAAAGCTTCCTACTGCAGTGGAGATGTTATATAACAGAAGATATTTGCATTTTAAGCTTTGTCTCTAATTGTGGAAAGAAAAGGTTTGCTATGCCCAAAGGAGGAACCTAAGGCCTCAGAGAGGATGGGAGCTGGATGAGTGGTCCCAAGGGTCTCTCCACACCCTGCCCTGCCCAGGGTCTAGACGAAATTGTGTTTCATGAGCATTGTGTTTGTGGGCACCTGAGGGGGCATGGCCCACCCTGCAGGCTCTTTACTGATAGAGTTGCTGAGAGAACAAGAGGAGGGCCAAACTCTCCAGAGCAGATTGAATCACTGCAGTAGTGTCCTAGGGCTGCATGACAAAGCACCACAAGCTAGGTGGCTTAAAACAACAGAAATGTATTGTCTCACAGTTCTGGAGGCCTGTGTATGAGATCAAAATGTCAGCACCTGCTCCTTCTGGACTCTCCAGGGAAGAATTCTCCCTTGCCTCTTCCAGCTTCTCGCTGCTTGTGGCCTCCACTCCAGTCTACACCCCTGTCTTCACATCACCTTGTTCTCTGTGTGTGTCTGTCTCAGAAATGCCTCTGCCTCTCCCTCATAGTTACAATGCATGGATTACCCACATAATCTAGGATAAATCTCTACTCTCAACGTCTTTTAACTTGATCACATCTTTTGACATACGAGGTGATATCCACCCTTTTGTCATACACGGTAAAATTCACAGGTTTCAGGGATTTACGATATGGATGTATCTTCAGGGACACCATTCAGCCTGTTACGTGGCATGAACAGATATCAAATCTCAAGTCCCTTGTCAGAAAGTATTATGACTGGGGTTTTGGGAAAACCCATTCTTATTGAAACTAGAGAGAAATTTGGCATTTGGAAGGGAAGATAGAAAGGGCATCTACTTGGAGCAGACTCTGTGCAGGCATTTTACATGGATTACATTTGATGAGAACAAATGTCAATTGAGCACTTAGCAAAGCCAGGCTCTGTGCCATGGACTGTACATAGACTAGCTCGTTTAATCCTCACATCTATCCCACTCTCATGTTCCCATCTTTTACCAATGAGGGAATTTTAAAAGGTTATGACTGACCCAAGGTTACCACATATAAAATGGCAATGCTGAGATTCAAGCTGCTTGACTTCAAAACCCATGTTCTATCTACAACTGTAATCTTCCTTCATCAACCACAAATTTTAATGAAGAAGTAAGAGATTAATGAAAATGCAAATTAATGAGGCACCTAGGTGGCTAAGTCAGTTAAGCATCTGGCTCTTAACTTCGGCTCAAGCCATGATCTTGCAGTTTGTGGGGTCCACAGACTACAAACCCCACATCGGGGTCTGCGCTGACAGTGTAGATCCTACTTAGGATTCTTTCTCTCTCCCACTCTCTCTGCCCCTCCCTGGCTCACGTGCTCTATCTCCCTCTCTCAAAATAAATAAATAAACTTTAAAAAATTAAAATTAATGAAGCGTGTATTTTCACAATCAAGCTGTTCTTCCATTGTGTTGTGGATTTTTAAAGCTCCCACACACAGATGTGAGGGTTTTAATTTCCAACATTTCATCCAAAATGGAAGCAGTAAACAAAAAGAATTTAGAGTGTAACAAATTTGCACTTTGCTGAAAAAGCAAAAGTGAAAATTCTGCATGACAACCAGATGCCTCCAAAGGAAGAATAAGCACATTTTTAAAGAGGTTTGGGAAGAGAGCAGAGAGAGGCAGGCAAAGGAGACAAGACAGAGAGGGAAAGATTTCGGCCCAATTGATGATTTTAGGGTAAAAAACC